CCGGCGGATGCTCCGGGCGCCGAGGGCTCTGCCTGCCGTCCTTTGTGCGGAGGTGCCGTTTCCGAGCGGCTTCCTGCCGGGTTTATATATAGCTGTCAGGCCGGCCCTCGCTGGGCTCGCGGGGTCCCCGCGCGTGCCAGGCCCGCGGTGTCTCCCCCCGTGCCAAGTGGGGCGCCTGGATGAAAGACCGACTGTCCCCGGAGGTCACCGGTAGCACCGGGTGATTGCCACAAGCCCTGCTAAAATTAGACCCTTATCAGCACTTTGGAGCAAGGCAATCCTGCAGGTTCCTGTTTATTGCAAGAGCTCCGACCGGGGCCGCGTTTTGGCGCTTTGTCCTTCCCGACAGGGACCCTGTCACCTCGTCTGCCCTGTGATGGGCTGGGAGCAGCCTGCTCGCTCGAGGAGGGTTTGGGACCGGAGCTGCTCGCCACCCACGAGTGATGGGGCTTCCTCCCTCCATGCAGGACTGGCCCTGCTCGTGGCCGCTCTCGCAGGGCATCCCCGGGTCCAGAAGGGGTTGAGCCCTGAGCCCTGTGCAGGGATGGATATCCCGCTCCTTCCCATCCCGTGCGCACTGTCCCATCCCATGTCCAGGGTTGGGGGCTGCCCTGTGAGGGGACATTGGGCCGTGGGGCGGCGCGCGCGGCCGTGGGTTGGGTTTGAGCTTGTCTGACGGTGCCCTTGTCCGTGTGTCCTTCTGCAGGCAGGGGGGCCCCCCGCGCCCCCCCGGGCGGGCTCTCCCAGCCCCCTTCCACCATGTTCAACCTGATGAAGAAGGACAAAGAGAAGGATGGGGCCAGGAAGGAGAAGAAGGAAAAGAAGGAGAAGAAGGAGCGGATGTCGGCGGCTGAGCTCAAGAGCCTGGAGGAGATGAGCATGCGCCGGGGTTTCTTCAACCTCAACCGGGCCTCCAAGCGGGAGTCCAAGACGCGCCTGGAGATCTCCAACCCCATCCCCATCAAGGTGGCCAGCGGCTCCGACCTGCACCTCACGGACATTGACTCCGACAGCAACCGGGGCAGCGTCATCCTGGACTCGGGGCACCTGAGCACGGCCAGCTCCAGCGACGACCTCAAGATGGACGACGGCAACTTCAAGGGCTCGGTGCTGCAGCGGGCGGCCAAGTTCGGCTCGCTGGCCAAGCAGAACTCGCAGATGATCGTCAAGCGCTTCTCCTTCTCGCAGAAGAGCCGGGACGAGAGCGCCTCGGAGACCTCGACGCACTCCGAGCACTCGG